ACCCAAAAGCGGAGGGAGAAAAACCCGTACTCTGAGACAAGGAGCCGAGACCGCAGGGAGAAAGAAACTTCCAACCCCCCCTCCCAGATCAATCCCCTGACAAAAGACGCTCCTTCTCTGCTAATCACCTGCCATGAGGTCCGAACAAAGACCGCACTGCTGGCCGGAATTTCCTAGCTGACCCCCTCCACACCTTCTGGGTCGTGCCTCTCAGGGTCCCCGTTTGTGCCTTGTAAAAAATACGCGCATTGCAAACTTCCCACCCCTCCCCTCCCCACCAGTTCTCGGCACTGCAGGTACAGGGGGTGACACTGACCGCTCAGCTTGATGTATCATGGAATGAAACAAGATCCTGTGGGCTCATCCCTGACTGAAACCACCACATCACTGACTGAACAGCTGCATCAAGTACGGTTGTATTTCTGTTTAATGTTTTCTTCAACAACCCCAGGAAAAAGAAATTAAAAAGAATTACAAGTGGTCCTGGTTAGAAAAGAAGCAAGCAACGAACAGGACAGATCAGCGTGGATTGCTCGGCAACCAAGGCGCATCCAAAAAATGTTACGGTTAAACTACATGTTTTGAACAAAGAATTCAAGCTACGCTTACGGGAGGTAAGACTGCACTGAAAGTGTGAGATCCTAAAAGTGATCTGGGTGTCGAGGCGGACAAGAACTCGCCTGTCTCCTACATGGTGTTTTAGGGAACTAGCTAATCTCATTTTGTGTGTATAGGTAAAGCTAATGGTGGATTGGAAAGGGATTTTTATGCCTGGGTATATATGAGACCAATAGCTGGCAGCTCTGTATTTGTTAGCATCTTCATTTTAAAAAGGTGTTGGGAAAATTGGGAAAGACTCGGAAAAGAAGTCCTTCCCCCAGTTACTCAATACCTGATGTCAAGATCTCCTAGTAAGAGATTTAAGGAACTCTTTTGGTTTATAAGAAAGAAATATGAGGGAGTACTGGACTTAGGTCACTCAAAAAAGTGGGGTTTTAAAAGACTTACAGATACAGGAGAGAAAAGTGACATGAGATTTAAGGACAGGAACTTGAAATCAGAAAAAAAAAAATTACGTAGTGGATCACAATGGTGATAAACCCCTGGAATATAGTTTGATTGAAATGGTAGAATTCCCATGTTGGTAACAGTGGGCCGACACATGAATACACACGTTAGTGATGAAGCACGTTATCCCAAGGGCCCTTCCAGAATTCAGTTGTTTCTCCTTGTAGAGAAAGCAAGAGAGGTGTAGTGGGAGTCTGAAAAGGGAATTCTCAGGCCAAATTCTACTTTTAAGTTAAGGAGAAGTGCCATGCATCCATTGTTACCCCGCTGGTGTCAAGAACAAGAAATTGAAGAACCGTGAACAGTCTTTGTCCCCAGTGAGAGTTTTGCAAATTAAATTGAGGCATAGGACACTTGTTCTTTCATGCACGTTTTTATTTTATGTTAAACAAGAAAGTCTTGTTTGAGCTTGAACTTTTGTATCTGAAAGACATGAACCTTGTGAATTGAGTGTATGTGCAGAGCATAAATATTTTTTGCAAGCATTACTGATGCAGCTGTTACTCTCCATTTCCAGTCACGGAAAGTGGCACGTGGTTGGACAGCTCTGCCTGGCTTTTCTTACATGTGAGCGATTAAAACCAGTTATACGAAATGATGTGAAGAACTCCCAAGTGCAATAGCAAAGACTTGATTATTAATATATACTACTTAACAATTTTAAAAGGTAGAGGGCAAACGTTTTGGACTTCCTGTACTCTCGGAGTCACAACACAAAAAATCCTTTAAGCATCAGGGTGCTTGTATTCAGTGTTTTTCTGCACTCCATTGATTTTTCTTCATTGTAATAATACACATGTGGACTTTGCATCTAATTATTGGCTTTACCAATTGTATGAATATTCATGAGAACAGATGGAGGTGTTGAGAGGAAGTTACATCTCAAAGCAACTGTGTGTTTCTGTTCTAAGTCCAACCCTTAACCTAACACTGCTGATACCACCACTGAACCACATCCTTCAGCACCACATCCACACGTCTCTTAAATCCCTTCAGGAATGGTGACTCCACCAGTTCCTTGGGCAGCCCGTTCCAGTGCCTGACAACACCTTTAGTAAAGAAACTTTTCCTAATATCCAATCTAAACCTCCTCTGGCACAACTTGAGGCCGTTTCCTCTTGTCCTGTCGCTTGTCACCTGGGAGAAGAGACCAACCCCCCCCTCTCTGCACCCTCCTTTCAGGCAGCTGTAGAGAGCGATCAGGTCTCCCCTGAGCCTCCTCTTCTCCAGGGTGAACACCCCCAGTTCCCTCAGCTGCTCCTCACAGCACTTGTGCTCCAGACCCTTCCCCAGCTCCGTTGCCCTGCTCTGGACATGCTCTAGCACCTCAATGTCTTTCTTGCAGTGAGGGCCCCAGAACTGAACACAGTACTCATGGTGTGCCCTCACCAGTGCCCAGTACAGGGGGACAATCCAAAGTTTTAAACTTTAAAGCAAAAGTACTGAATTCATTAACAACACACTTTGTGCTAATGGTTGGTTCTTGCATGTTATTAATCATTATTGCTTTGCACATAAAACTGTTGTCTATAACATTTTTACACTAAATCAGCTGTGACTGTACAGAAGTGTGGAGCTCCTGGCACTGATGGCCGGGGTCCTCATCAGTCTCCAAGGAGAAGGCAATCAGGCTGGAGTGAGGGTCTGTCGTGATTTCTCCCGTCGTTGGTGTTTTATGCATCTTGCCCTCCCCTCCCCTACCTGAAGGGGGATTTCAACTGCTCTTTAACTTGGTTTGGTTTTGCCAGTCACCCCTCTTGGGCCTTGGGCAGGGTGTCCTGCCCCTTTTCCTTCCCCTGCACTTATTTTGGTCTTTATCTTGTAACTTCCGCCACTTGGATGTCTCCATGCAACTGTGTAAGGCTGTCTTCGCCACTACATGAAACGTTGGTACGTAGCGTTGGGCTCTGCGGTCGCAGTGCTGCGAAATGCTTGTGTGCTGGTCGTTAACGCTGTTTAAGGGTGCTTAGGTGTCGGTTCTGGGCAAGCTAGGGTTAATTATTCCCAGATTAATACACATAGAGCTTTCACGGGAATTTTTCTGCTTCAGCTACACTAGCCGCAAACCTTGCTCTGTATTACTATTATTTGTAGTAAAGGAAGAAAATCATCTCAGATAGCTAAAAGTTAATGAAAAATCTAAATTCAAGGTGACAGTCTTCATACTTGAAGAACCAGATCCAGTGGAGCTGCATACCCTTTTTTTTGGCCTCAGGACGCATCATCCTTTGGTCAACACAAGGACACTTGGGTCTTTAATGCCTATACCTCATCCAAGGTCTTTCTGCACCGTCGGTCTAGGCTGTCATTCTGAAGCTGTGGCAGTGCAGGTACCCCAGCCCGTGGGGCGTTTCAGCGTCTTCCTGTGTGTGCTAACTAAAATGTGGACTTGGGATGCTGCATTGCCCGATTCAAACCTCTGCAGATTGCAGGCGCCAAGTCAAGCGCAGTCACCCAGTGAACCTGCCTGTGTTAGAGACAGCGAGGGGAGAGTTCTTGGGTTTCTTGGCAAGATTTAAGTGCTCTGTTTATAGACAACGTTGAATTACTTTTAAGCTTGAAATTGCTCTCTTGTTATAAAAAAATATTTTATTATTTCGTTGTTTTCCATACTATTTTGGAAAGATGCCCAGGAGGAGACCTGTGTTCCAAAAAGGATATAAAATTGATTTTTATTCAGCCTCTTTAAGACAAAGTCCCGCTGTAAAAATTGAAATACGAAAGACCAGTGAGGAGGGGGAATTTAAGAGCATGAATTTTCTTACTGTTTCTGAAATGCAGAATGCCCGATTTTTTGAAGAAGGGCTCAAATACCATTTGTGGTTTGAATGGGAAATGCTCCCTCCCAACTAGAATCTCTGCAAGCTGGCTGGCTGAATGCCACTCAGGTTTACCTGTTAGATCTTCCCACTTCCTGAAGTGGCCAGGCAATGAAGGTGTGAAATGATTTCTTCTCTTGAGTATCTTTTTCTGTGCAGTGTTTATTTTCTGGCTGAAGCCTCCTGGACTTCATCTAACATAAACATACTATGCAGGCAGAGCAATCCTGCATATTTGCATTGTGTATGGCAGAGCTAGACTTCTTAAGGTTTAGATTCACTTAACGATTTAGCGCTACTTCATCTTCCAGATTTTTCCAAGTAACCCAAAGCTTATCATTGCAATAGAGGGTGATGCTATGGAAAAAAACACTAACCCCAAAAACCCTCTAACAGTTACATGGACACAGTTCTCCTGGATACGACTGGATGTTACAGTCTTACTGGTCCTTGTTATGTAAGTTACGCGCAGACGGAAGTTGTAGGTGGTACAGCAAAACCTCTAAGCTAGAGGCCAGATTTCAAGTTCACTTCTCTTGCGGTCATTGATACATCAGCTAACAAAATCTGACTTGGCTGACTGGTTCAAAAACCCAATGCATTGGGATACAGATAATTTTAACATATTTTTATAATTTATACATACTGTACAAGACAGATTGAGAATTTTGTATTACTTGCTAGTATTTCAAACTATTCATTTCTTTTTCTAGCTATGTTATTATTTCTCAATAACCAAGATTTAGTATTATACATCAATTATTTATTATGGGTTGGAAAGTGACTGAAAATGATGTTTTGATCCTATGCTTATTTTTGAAGGCACAGCTGCTCCATTCAGTGGAAAACCTGTTTTGTGCAAATACTTGCATGAAGGCAGCAGCACACGCTAGCCATGGAATAGTAAGCTACATACATCGAGGTAACCCTCATCTCCTTCACACACGGCAAGCGGTATCTCGATTTTTAGCTATATGGGTCGTCTTCAGTGGGAAATGTCTCCTTGCAATTTGTGTGAATTTATATGGGAATCATAGAAAATAAATACAGATGAATGCAGTAACAGGCAAGTTCACTCTCACTTGTGTTTTTCAGAAGTGTCTTTGTCGCTGCTCAGTCGTCTATTTTCAGTTTGAATTCCACTTTTCCTTCATACGGATCGTGAATGTTATCAAAGGTAATTCCAGCTCCAATGATTTTGCACACTATTCGAAGTTCTACATTCCTTGTAATGTTGAGAAATTTCACGGCTACCAAAGGATTGCTGTAGCTGGGCTAGGGGGGGAAAAAGAAAACCCACGTAATTTTTCACTGCCAAAATAAAGCCTTAAAATTAGCCTTCTCCCCAGCCCTCGTAAGGTTGCGGAGATGCTGCATGCGTTTAATCTTCTGTGAAGGTAAAGGGAAGTAATACTCCTTTACGTGAGCACCCACCTGTGCCTTTTTTCCATAGTAGGGGAAGTAGTGCAGGTTGAAGGTACCGTTCACAGGGTAGTAGTCCACCTCCAGCGGGCGAGACTCTTCGCCCTGCTCGTGAAGGAGGAAGGAAGCTTTGTTGGCTGGGCCGTTTTAAGCTGGCCCCGGGCAAGTGTTCTACTGCTGCCAAAAGCTGCGCAGTGTGTATTAACGCTCGGGTTCAGCAGTTTAGCACCGGACTTATTTTTCTTTCTCAGCTGAAAGTGGAAATCTGGTGTTGCTACTGCCAAGAGAAACGGGCGAGTGTGCTTTCACAGCGGTTGTGGGTGCGGTGAGTGGGGACTTCCAGTACCTGAAGGGGCTACAAGGAAGCTGGGGGGGGACTTTTTACAAAGGCCTGTAGTGACAGGACAGGGGATAACGGGTTTAAATTGAAAGTGGGGAGGTTTAGATTGGGCGTCAGGAAGAAGTTCTTCCCGGAGAGGGTGGTGAGGCACTGGAACAGGTTGCCCAGAGAAGCTGTGGATGCCCCATCCCTGGAAGTGTTCAAGGCCAGGCTGGATGAGGCTTTGAGCAACCTGGTCTAGTGGAAGGTGTCCCTGCCCATGGCAGGGGGGTTGGAACTAGATGGTCTTTAAGGTCCCTTCCAACCCAAACTGTTCTGTGATTCTAAGCTGTGGAATAGGTTGCCCAGAGAGGTGGTGCTGACTCCATCCTTAGCCTGTGTAGACTTCAAAACCCTAAAAGCCCTGAGCCATGTAGTCTGACCTCACAGCTGGCCATACTTTGGGCAGAAATTGGACAAGAGATGACCTGAGAAAAGAAATGTGCAGAGAGCCTGAACTTCACAACTGGGAGCTGAAAGCAAGCAGCAGGTGTTCTCTGCAGCACGGGAAAACAATTTTTCAGGTGAATTCAAGTAAAGCAAACATTTTGTTACTGTTCCTAGGATATCTGCTGGTTCAAGAAATTACACAGAATGGAGGATATTCCCAGTATTTCACCAAAATTATCTGATTTTCGGAGCTGCAGGGTAATCATTTTGGTCGTGACTCTCCTTCTCTTGCTATCAGAGCTGCAGGGCTTGACATTTTTGAGTCCCGGACCTCATGCACTCACCATGTATGTGCAGTCTACCCTTGGTGCAGTGCCATTGCCAGGGAAAAACTTGATAATCTGAAATAGAAAACACATGTTGGGTCATCTTGGAAATCGTTTTGAGATAAAAACTATTAACTGGGCCTCAAAGGATGCTTAATGTGTTTCTGTATAAGGTGCTGTCAAACAGATCATCTGAGCAATATGGCCTAGTGGAGGGTGTCCCTGCCCATGGCGGGGGGTTTGGAATTAGATGATCTTTAAGGTCTTTTCCAACCCAAGAAAACCTTGGCTTTGTCAGAAACCCTTGGGCCCGTTTGGTCCTACAAAAATAGTGGGGTTGCATCCTGCAGCAGCGAAGGCGAGAGGAGGTAAAGCCCCTGGGGGCACTATCCACCTGCCTCCCCCCTTGCTGTGCCTGGTGTGCAGCCTTGCTGAAGGAGGCAAAGGTGTTTTGGGGAAAAGCCTGTGTTTCATTTGTCAAAATGAGGGCACAGCTCTCCTCTCACAGTTAGATCTTGTACAGATTCTGGAAACCATCGAAGGTGCAAGCCAAACCAAAAATCAAGTGATTTTGTCTATCGGCAAGTGGGGGAGAATTTCTGAGCTAGAAGGCTCAGAATTTTACCTGGAAACAAAAGTGAAATGCTTATGCCTTTGTCTGTGCCCTGAAAAAAATTAAAGGAAGCATAGAAGATTCCCTTTATCCTCTCCAAAAAACACATGTTGGTGGTTTTCACTGATAAAAATATCCACCAGGCCTGAACTTTGTTTTTATAGGTTCCGCTAAAGATTTTCTTTGCAGCCTGGAGAAAGCAAGTGTGCAAGTATCACCTCCCTGAAATCACTTTGGTTACTGTCACATCCTGACGCCTTAGCTGAAGGCACAGTTTTATCCCGCAGTACCCAATCCTGTTTCACATCCTCTTTTGTCGGATGAGAGCGCTACGGAGATGCTAATAAAACTAAATTCTCACTGAATTCGTTCCCACTCCACACCCTGAGCTTGTACTTACCCTGTTCATCTTTATAATAAAACAGGGTTTTCCTTCTGGAAAGCCAAAAGTCGGATCTGTGATGCCGGAGCAGTTTTGAAGCATATCTGAGGTAAATTTGCAGGATAGTTTTGTTTTATTGGGGCCGTCGAAGGTGTCCTGGATGAAGTACGTGTCACCGGTGCAGTTGACGTTCAGACGCTGAGCAGCTGGCGTGTATGCTAGGTATGTGAAGGAAGGAAGGAAGAAAGATTCCCCTCTGAAGTGTTTCATATGTGAGTTATGCATCCCAGTATCAGGCTGGAGGTTACATCATGAGGGACTGTACTTCAAGTGAAAGTGGGGTTAGGTGGTATGACGAAAATCTGAATTGTATGGGAGGTTGGCTTTGGTTTTGTTTTAGAAAATAAGGAGATCGAATTAAGGCTGATAATTTGTATTGATGGCTCCATGTAAAGTCAGTCTCAAATGTGTTCTTTCTCAATATGTGTATGAGACAGAAATATGGTATTAAGGCTCAAAAGGAATATAATAAGATAAGAACAGGCAAGCGGAGCACCTAACCTGCTTTGACTGTACTCTCTGAGGACACTATGCAGCGGCTTCACAAGACTTATGGCACTTTGTAGTCACGGGCAGTATTGGATTACTTCAGGTGAGACTACTTTTGAAGATCTTTTTTCTTCCCTCCAAACTTTCTATTAGCATATGTTATTTAGGCTATTTAGGATTAAACAAAGTAAAACTCCTGAGGCAGGGTTCTGCTTTTAACAGACACCATTACAGTAAATAGATATGTTTGATTTACAGATTCATGAGATGGTTTGCTCATCCCTTTCAGAAGATGCATTTTCCACTCAAAAGCTGTGATTTCAGAAGGACAGATGGAAAATGGAATGACTGACTTAAGGTCCTGAGACCTAATGCGGGAGATGGGACAGCACTGGTTTTTTTTAGTATTATGCAGGAAACCCCATATTTACCTGTCAGAAAAGTCCGAAGGGTTGTCACTAAACCTTCCCAGGTTTTGTTGTCGGATGCGTTGTAATAAATCTGTAGTCCTCTGTCCCCATAAACGTCAGGTCGTAATGTTACACCTTCGTGGGGAAAAAAAGGGAAGGCAAAGCAGAGGAGAGAGAGGTGCTAGGCACAGATTTGTTTAAATTGACAATAGTGATGGTGCTGCTGCATCAAGACCCATTATTCTAAGTGTAGGAGATCCCTGGGCTTTGCTGGGGAGGATTTAAACCCATACGGAAACCATCTTGCCTGTGAGCTGTTCAACCACGACCCTAAAGCCTCTGCTGCTGCTAAACTTTTTTCCTTCTGTGTATATGCACGCTGTTATGAGAACAGCTTGCAAAGCCATTCCAGCAATTGCACTGGATTTCCCCAGGACTTGTTAAAAAGGGCAATAATAAGTCACTTATTACTTATTATTAAATAATTCAGGTTACAGAAACGGATCGTACAGCTGTGTCAGAAACCGCTTTTGAAAGAGCCATGCTTAATATTTTACAGGAATTCTTTTGTCAGCAAACATCAAGCTTACTGAATATCATAGAATCACAGAACG